AGCCGGTATAACCGCCTTTCGGCGTAACACACCAGCTTCTGTATCTGTATAGCCGGTATAACCGCCTTTCGGCGTAACACACCAGCTTCTGTATCTGTATAGCCGGTATAACCGCCTTTCGGCGTAACACACCAGCTTCTGTATCTGTATAGCCGGTATAACCGCCTTTCGGCGTAACACACCAGCTTCGCAGGCACACGGCGCGGCGGCAGCTGGCTATATTACACCGATCGACTTGTTACACCTAACCCTTGAACTTCTAGCTCTAGACATTGTTTAAAGCTATCTATTGACAATGCCCCTACTGTACTATGTTTGGTTGTATGTCACACCTTAGTGAACAATATGTTTGGTAACCAGGCTAGTAGAGGCTAACCTGAGTAACCTCTAACCGTCTCCACCTGTCCGAGGTACCGCCTCGGGTCTTCCACTAAATCCTGATGTAAGAATAGCTTCAAAGGAGTTAAAAACTGACTCTGTTACGGTAGATAAGACGGTTTTAACATAGCAGAAATCTTGGTGTCACTGTTCCGTGTATATACGAGCTACAAATGTGTTACAGTGCTGACTCTGCTCTTTGTCTCGAAGTGTGGCTTCTACTTAGTGTATGCCTCATCCTTATAAACCTGCATTTCTCCTCTGGTCGCTTGGTATTACTGACCAAAGGTAGTGGATGCTACCTGAAACGTCTGACAAACGTCTGCCAAAATCATATCCAGTTGCTTGAGTAACTGCTTTTTGGCGTATGCCTCATTGCCTTTTACTCTGTATGACGGTGCAGGGATATGGTACCACTGTACATGTGTCATGAATATACGAGCTACAAATGTGTTACAGGGCTGACTTTGCTCTTTGTTTCTGTCTCGAGGAGTAGCGTCGCCTTTTTACTCTGTATGATAGTATGTGTGTGCAGAAATATGTTGTCACTGTTCCGTGTATATACGAGATACAAATGTGTTACAGGGCTGACTTGACTTGTGTGCATGATACAAATACAAAATACATTTGCGGTTGCAGCTGTGACAATGTAGTAGTTGATATATATATGAAGTTTTTTGATAGATCTATATACACAGTGCAAAGTATTCAGCATCATCGAATTCACTTTATTAGAAGCATTCAAACGGTCAAGCACCACAAACTCTTGCTCTTCATACAAAAATTTCCTTTAGCAGCCACTTTGTAGTTCTCACATTCATGGAACTAGGGTAGATATCGTACTCTGTACAGCAATATACGTCTAACATTATGAATCAACTAAAATACTTTGTTGTCTATACCAACATAGCAGTGGCGTTTACTACATAATCTTACTTATTACAATTTTTACGGAGTGCAAGACTAAAGTTGTACCGTGGTTTCCTATAACAAACGTTCTGTTCCCAACTTAGGATGTAGTTTGTATTTCTAACGTTTTACTACAGTTCTATGAGTGAATTAACATACGTGACAAATCATAGTCTTCTTTCTATTACTGTTTTCCGGTCGTAATATCTGATCAAAGAGTAGTAGGCTACGAGTCATAGAAATTATAGACTACGTGTGTTTACAATTGTGTAGATCACAAACCGCATATCCCAACATATAAAAGGAATGAACTATTAACTTATATGTGCAACGTTACTGAATTGGCAGCTTTTAAGTAAGCAACAAATATCATGTTATATTCATATCCAGGCAACTTACACGATGTAATTACATTGTTCGGTAGGGCAAGGGATAACGATAAACTGGCAATGTAACAAACTATAAGATTGCAACTAAAAAAACAAATAGCTATGACCACTCTTAGTTTATACCTTTATCCAACACCAAAAATACGACCGAAAATTTTAGTAAACCTATTTCCTTTTTGGAGTTGGATAAAGGTAAATGCTTACATTAATGTAGTTTACGTACTAACACATATGAGCTTATATTCTAAGTTGCTGCACTTTCTCATTGTTAGGAAATGCTATCTGAAATGTATCTGAGTGCCACTCAAAAGTTAGGGAGTATAGACTGACAATTTAGGAAGCTAGACAGAAAACTGTTCAGAAACCATTGTCATTATTTCTATTATACATCTTAGGTGGTAACAGTCAATGCAGCAAATAAATGCACATTCACTTACTTGTAGACTAACCCAGTACATTGTTAGGAAATGCCATTTGAAGTGTAGCTGAGTGCCACTCAAAAGTTAGGGAGTATAGACTGAAAATTTAGGAATCTAGACTGAAAACTGTTCAGAAACCATTGTCATTATTTCTATTACACATCTTAGGTGGTAACAGTCAATGCAGCAAATAAAAATGCACATACACCTACATTTGTAGACTAACCCAGTACATTGTTAGGAAACGTAATCTGAAATGTAGCTGAGTGCCAGTCAAAAGTTAGGGAGTATAGACTGAAAATTTAGGAAGCTAGAAACCATTGTCATTATTTCTATTATAGGTGTACATCTTAGGTGGTAACAGTCAATGCAGCAAATAAAAATGCACATACACCTACATTTGTAGACTAACCCAGGGCATTGTTAGGAAAGAAATGTTATCTGAAATGTAGCTGAGTGACACTCCGTGGTTGGATGGATGTATTGAGTGTAAAGTGCCGTCCCTGTTTGCGTCGGGGGCCTTATCAGTGTTTAATGGACGTTGTCTGTTGGT